TTGTACTTGCACCCATATGCCTGCTTGAAATTATTACAAGACTTCATTCCGTATGGGAAAACTGAAATTTCATTTTGGTTAAAAAATTATTTTCCTTACTGTCAAATTTAGATATGATTGTCGAGTATTAGTCTAAATTAGTAATGATAGTCGAAAATTAGTCTAAATTTAGCAATGATCCTAGTGTTCAAATTCCTTATGAACATACAATTTTAAAAATGAATAGAACAATAAATAAATTTTTTTGAAAAAATCTCTCTATTACATTAAACTAATAGAGCCATTTTTTTAAAAAGTAGGACTATGGTTGCTTGCCAAAACTCCTCTGGAAATCAATTGGCAGAATTTTGACATGATACACCCTATTGTTTATTAGAGTTTTGGCAGAGTTTCACATTTGGGGGTTTTGACAATTGGCAGAGTTTCAGCAGTCATTAATAGGTTTTAGCAAGCAACTTTAGGCAGTGTTGGCATTTTTATATGTCCAATTAATTTCCAATTGGATTTGTCTTGTCCAATTGTCTAATCCAAATCCAATTGGCACAGTAGCTATTTGGACATTGGCATGTCCAAATATTTGTGAGACATTTTAAATTTCTAAATTTTAACATGATATAAAATATAATGTTTATTTGGAATTAGAACAATGAGAAATAAGCCTCATTCTTAAATTAATGATTTTTTTGTTTCTTTATTTTGTTTTTATCTCAGGTAATAACAATATATCTAATGCATCCACATTAATGTCAATATCATCAACAACATTGCTAAATAAAAACATCATAAATTTGTCTTTGGATTCTTTCAAAGCAATAATACTAATAATATAATATTGTTACCGGAATTAGATTTGGACGCTCTTTTGGCTGTAATTAACTAATTCCGAAATTCTTGATTTTATTTTTATTTTATAACCTTTATTTTATTAATTTAGTATTATTTTATCTGTATTTCGTAATACGTTTTATTTTTAATTTTATTTAACTTATTTAAGAAAGAATCGTCTTTCCAATATTTCAATATTGTGATATCCGCGCAATTTTCAAATATCGTCTCAATTTTGAGATATTATTGCAATATTGAAATACCTTCTCAATATCGAACAGATATTGCAATATTGAAATAACTTTTCAATATTGAACGGATATCTTAATTTTGAGATATTAGAATTTCTAATTAATTGAATTGTATATAAAGAACTCAATTTCGACCTACTGTAAAAATAACTTCTTCGTAAGTTAATTAGTTTCGACTAAATAAACAAAATAATAATATTTTATATAAACAAACTATTTTAAAACAAAATTATACACTAATACCAAAATCAATCCGTTGATCCCATATTCACTTTGATCCACACAAAACAAAAATAATTGTTATCACCAATTAAAACACGCTCTCCCAAATTTTAATCGGTGACATTATGTAATTGGGAAGGATATGATTATTATTACTCTTTTTTTAATCTCATCTTTTTTATTATCTTATATATTATCGTGAATATTTGAAAAGCGATTTTATATTTCTGCATTTAGTATTTTCACCTTATCTTATATTTAGTATTAGTTTTACAATAATCAAGCTATATTAGATAATAAAACACAATTATTTTTTACGATTAGAAGTTACATGTGATTGTGTTGATGCTTCTAAAAAATTAAACATGTATCGGATGTTTTTAAAGTTAATTCCGATCAACGATAGAAATCCATTAATAAAATCGTCATTAATAAAATTAAAAAATGTATCGAGTGACAAAAGTCACATATTATAAAGTTTTGTCCTTTCATTATGCAAGGTCACATGAAATCATGCGATTTTGTAAATAGAAACTAGATCTTTAAAAAAATGCAAAAAACTTTTCTTTCATTATATTAAAATAAATAGTTCACTTTGGAGAAGCTACGGATTACGGGTATAAAACCTATATAAAAAATATATATACACTCTCTGGACAAAAGTTTCGGTCACCACAAAACAATTAATTACGCAAAAGCGTACATAATAAAACACAAATAAATTTCATCAAATTGTGACTAAAGTTCTCAAGAATATGTATGCAAAAATTCGACCAAAAATTATTTTTTGGAAATGATCACCAAAATTTGATTTTATTTTGCAAGTATTTATACCACTTCTCAAAAAAAAAAGGAATATCCTATATACAGAAATTTTACTTATTTGTATGCAAGTCAATACTTTGTTGGCCACCCATTATTGGATATAACAGCTTCTATTATTCTCGGCATATTTTCTATCATATTCATATAAACATTTTAGGAATTTGATTCCATTCTTCATGTAAAGCGGTCTCAAGTTCAATATTATTTTTAAATTTATTTGGACATTCCCGAATACGAATTTCTAATTGATTCCACAGATATTCTATTGGAGATTGACTTGGCCAATTTTTTATGATACACCCTATTGTTTATTAGAGTTTTGGCAGAGTTTCACATTTGAGGGTTTTGACAATTAGCAGAGTTTCAGCAGTCATTAATAGGTTTTAGCAAGCAACTTTAGGCAGTGTTGGCATTTTTATATGTCCAATTAATTTCCAATTGGATTTGTCTTGTCCAATTGTCTAATCCAAATCCAATTGGCACAGTAGCTATTTGGACATTGGCATGTCCAAATATTTGTGAGACATTTGAATATTCTAAATTCTAACCAACATAAAATATAATGTATTTGGAATTAGAACAATGGGAAATAAACCTCATTTTTTAACATCACACATTTACAGTATATTCTTAATGAAAAAATCAATTATTTCAACAAATATGCTCTTTGTTTATATTGTAGAAATGCCTTGAGTCATGAAGTTGCTCACCAGAATAGATTTTTGAATAAAAAAGATAGAATTAAGTCATATTTAAAAAAAATGTGAAAATTTCAAAGTGATAGTAGGAATCAAATTTTAGAAGAAATACTTGCAAATTCTCAAAAAAGATTGGCAATTTTTCAGATTGCTGGAAATAATTGAACAAAGTGAAATAAAAATAACTCAAAATTTTATTTATCAAAATTGTTTTTAGATCTTCACATTGTTTTTCACAAAAAATCATATATTTAAATCAGATGACTAAAATTAGAGAATTATCTGTTGTTGAACACAGAGGTAATTGGTGCTTGGAAATGTGATGTAAGCAAGATAGAAATAAGCAAAAGACTTGGGATACTATCGAGAACAATATATAATATTATAGGAAAATATAATAAAGAAGGAACTCATCAGGAAAATGGGTACAAATATTATGTGT